CGCTCCCACTGGCGCTGGATCTCGTTGGCGTGGCGGCGCGAGAGGATGTACGCGAGCACGACGAGGCAGCACGCCTGCACCGGGCTGATCAGCCGCAGCAGCGCCAGCGCGCCCGGCGCCACCGCCAGCAGCACGTACTTCCACTGCTGCGATCGCGTCACCTCCATGGCGGCACGCGGAGACGGCGGGGGACGAGGCCTGAGACGCGCGAGGTGGGTGAGAAAGGTATCCCAAGAAGGTCACAAGGGAGGCACGTGGGTTGGAATCACGTGGGTCGTTGGAGTTTGGTTCCTCCAACCCGAGCAGGGCTGGTGAACCGCAGTTGGCCAGCAGAAGCCGATATTGTTGAAACGGGTAGTGGGAAGCAGGAGCAGTTCAATAAAAAAGAATTATATACAAGAAACAAGAAAAGCAAGCTAATCCTAACAAGAAACTTGAGGGTACTGTATATGCACATGGAGAACCAAAGAGAGCTACTGATGTCTCGCGTTTTGAATTCAGAAATTGTAATCCTCTGCTGCATGAACACCGGACCGGAGCTTGCCACGCCCTTGAGGGCAGCACGGAGAAACAGAAAGTCACTGGCCAACTGCTCAAACTGCAAGCATCAACAGATGCCAAAGCAGCACGACACTGTAAATAAGAGCCAGGCAACATAACCAAAGCAGCAGTGAACCAACATTGATTAGCCAGACAGCCACTTAAAGATTGAAAATGAGTCGGAACAAAAGCCAACCATGACAGGCTCTAGCCAAGCTGGATGCTGCATCTGGCACAGGAAGAGAGGTGTTCCAAAGCAGAAAGCGTGAAGACGCACACATGACCTGCATACATACCTTCCGCCCTGTCAGGGGATGGCGAGATGCTGGTGAGCGACACGCGAACAGTGCCCTTCCCCGCCTCGGACTCGCACACCACCGCCTGCACTGCCTGCCCCGCCACCTCCACTCTCACCCCCACTGTGCAACCCCCCTTCTCGTCCCCTACTCCCCTCCCCTCCTCCGCATCCCCTCCCCTCTTTCCTTGCATCAAACCTACTTGGCACTCGTCTTCTTCCTCTTCCTCCTCCTCCCCCCCCCCCTCCAGCACCCCCTTGGGCGGGCGTGGCACGATGACGAAGTCAGAGAGGGGGTCGTAGAGGGGGTCCTTGCCCTTGACCTCCAGGAAGAAGTGCAGCAGGCTGAACACGCGGGGCAGCCGCAGCAGCTCCCGGTGCTCCGCGCCCGGCACGCCCACACGGAATCGGGCAGGAAAGCCGTCCGCCTGCCCGCATGCACGGGGCGGTTGGGGTGGGTTGGAAGGCGTGGAGGGTTGAAAGCGGGGAGTTGCATGAAGGAGTGGCATGAGAGAGGGAGGGGAGGATGGGAGGGAGGAGGGGGAGGCGAGCATGCAAGACACTAGATGGGGCAACGGCGAGGCAGGACAGACGGAGTGCATGCACGGGCAAAGCAGCTTACCAGGGCGGACTCGATGGGAACAGTGCCGTCGCCATGCACGCAGTCAAAGGTGGCCTGATGGATAGCAGCGGCAGGTGGGAGGGAAGGGCGAGAGGGGAAGACAGGTTGGAAGAGGCTCCAAGTGTGGGGAGCGCCAGAGGCAGGCGGGGCACAAGGCGGGCGGAAGCGGGGACGACTTGTGAGGCGCCTCACAAGGCAGGCAGAAGCGGGGACGCAGCACAGCGCACAGCACAGACACAGCGCACAGCACAGACACAGCGCACAGCGCACACAACGCAGGAGAGATTGGAAGGGGTGGGTGAGCAGCGGCTCACATCGGAGTGCAGGATGTCGGGCAGGTCGTTGAGCGGGTCCTTGGGGGAGCCGTACCTGCAGTCGGGGGGCGCGGGGGGGGAGGGGGGAGAGAGAGCAGTACGATACGCGAGTGTGAGGGCCACGACCGATGGAAATTGGAGGACGGAGAGACCATGTTGGGAGAATGAGTACGGATGGAGAAGGTAAGCAAAGGCGAGGGGCATACTGCGAGTGGAAGGGCGTGTCGAGGCCCGTGCCATAGATGGTGTAGAAGTCCACAGACGGAGGCAGGCGCGCCTTGGCCCAGATGCGCCGCGTCTCGTCCGCCCACCGCACGATGTCCCGGTTGAACGGCAGCGGCACGGTGCGCCCGTTCACCTCGATCTGCTCGCTCCGATGCAAGGGGCACAGCATGATGCAAGGGGCACAGCATGCAACGTTAGGAATGTAAGATGCACATGGCGTGACAAGTCCGGGTGGAGAAACAGCAAATCTTAGCAAGCGCCTGGCAGCAGCCACAGCCCGCCTTACACCCAACCGTTCACCTTGTTGTCCTGCAGCGCGCGGTCCATGGCGTCGAGGATGTCCGGCAGGTGTGTGAAGCGCTGCTCCACCACGCCCTCGCCCAATAGGCCCTCCTTCACACCGCCGCCCAGCAGAGTCTCTTTCGCTCCCTCCCCAGCAGCTCTCTCCGGGCTGCCACCCCCCGACAGCGACAGCGTGTCCGCCACGCTGCTCGCCTCGCCGCTGCTGCTCGCGCTGTCGCTGCTGCTGCCGCTCTCGCTGCCGCTCTCGCTCTCGCTTTCGCCGCCCCCCTCAGCGTCCCCTCCGCCACACGCGGCCCCTCCACCGTCCCTCCCCTCCTGCGCGCCCTGCACCTTGTTGTCCCCCGGGCGGCGGCGCACGACCCTGAGCTCGGGCTTGTTGCCGCCCCAGTGGAAGTCGTAGTCCGCCATGAGCTCGTACACCGACGGGCACTCCACCATCTGCCGCGCCACACACGAGACGTGCACGAGGGCGTGGGGATGGCGCGGTCACAGGTGCAAGGGATTGGATGAGCAATAACGAGGATGCGGTGTTCCAAGAAAGGCAACGGGTGGGGGAAGTAGGTGCAGGACGCCAGTGAATAATACAGCCACGAGTGGTACATAACGAGAGAGAGGCACGGACGAGCTGGTGCATGGTCCATACCAGTTGGTGCATGGTCCACTTGGAGATGAAGAGCGACTTCTGCCAGCCCTTGAGGAACTCCACGCCCGTCAGCAGCGTGTCCATGATGAACCCCGGCGCGCCTGCCGCACGGCCAAACACGCAACGCAACGCAAGGGGGACGCGCACGGAGGGAGGAAGGGGAAGTGGTAAGGCGAAGCGGTGATGCGTGGAAATTAGAGGCATGGGGAGAGAGAGGAAGCGCGCGGAGTGGCAGCCAGCACGGGAGTAGCGAAGCGATGCACCGAACCGACGCCTGTCCCGCACCACTCCGTGCGGATGTGCCTAGCCAATCCGCACCGCACCCCTCGCGCACCTCCCCCATACGCGCGCAGCTCTTCCCCGCGCCCACGTTCCCACCCCCCGCTTGCCTCTGAAGGGCGCGGCGATGGCGACCCACTTGCGCACGAGGCGCTTGACGTCCGCCGGGTGCAGCGCGGCGAGCGACTTGAAGAGCAGCCCGCCCATGCTGTGCGTCACCACGTCCACCCGCCGCCCCGTCGCCGCCACTATCGCCTCCAGCCGCGCGCGCAGCCGCTCCAGCGTCTCGGGCAGCCTGCCACGTGGATACAGGGTTACGGGTGGAATTCGACAAGCGCTTGAATGTCTCGATCAGTTAGCTATTAAAATTAAAGAGAACTGAAGCGCGTAAGGTTGAAGGTTAAGCAAAAAGAGGTTAACAGGAGCAGACGCGGAGGCTGACCGGTTGCTCTGGCGGAAGTCGTAGCCGAAGCCGAAGAGCGACTCGCCGTCCTTGAAGCCCCACTGGCGCATCTCGACGACCATGTGGTGGTAGTAGCACACCACGTCCACCGGTACCGACTGCCGGGGGTGTGAGGGGGGGGGGTTGTGAAGATGAGAGAGGCGTGAGCTGAGGTGGAGGAGATCGTTGCACACATAACATGGCGTGAGCGCGATACGGAGCGGAACGCATTCACGAGCAAAGGAAGAAATCACACGCAGCTCGCAGAAGCAGGGAGGCGAGCAGAAGCTCGAGGCGCGGTGCTCACGACATCGGGGTCGAGGATGTCGCAGCTGTAGAGCCCGTGGTTGTCGTCCGGCACCTCGATGTGCGACTCGCGGTCCAGCGACTCCGTCTTGCCTGCCACCCACCACATCCGGGGAACGGGTGAAGGGGTGAAGGGGAAGGTAAGTGGACTGGAGGATGGAATAAATCGTTGCTCCCGCACTGAAGTGGCCTAACCTGTTTCGGGATTGTACTTGGACCATAGCTTGGTACGAAACTCCTGATCCGCGTTATAGAGGCGGACCCATATCCGCTCCTTCTTCTTCCCGTCGTTGCTGATCGCGTTCAGAATAGAGCCTCCAATCCCCGGTATAAGCAGCACCGGATTAAACTCCGCTGCCGTATCATGAGGCTTCGGTCGTGGCTTGGGCCACCATGGTCGCCAGCCAACCATAGCTGCACTCTAGGCTGGAAAGACTAGCTTCTACGGCGACTAAGTTGAAACCCTAAGATTGTGTGACTCTGGCTGGGCTGGCGACCTGCAAGCGGTGGCTGAAATGGGTGAGAGATGAAGCACACAGAAGCAGCGGGGTGGAGGCGTTGCACCGTACTGCACCGGAGTGGAGTGGGCTCGCTCGGCTAAAGGAACGAAACGAAACTGGTGGAGGTGGATTGATGAGCACCGCACCCCTGCCTGTCCGAGCCACTTTCCGAGCCACTTGCTCCAAACCTTCTCGCCGGGCCTCTGCTTCCTGCCACCGCGCCCGACGGGGAGTCCCTCCAGCTGCTGCTGACGACGAGACTTGTGTGGCAGCGAATCGATTGGCAAAACGTGGCGAAATTTGACGTCCCGTCAGCTCAAGCCTGGACGATATGACGGTGCAGCCGTTACCTGCCTCAAGAGGTTCGCGAAATCCTGAAGACACCCCCTCTTCGGCGAAATGCGAGCGTCGTGTACTGTGCTGTACTAAAAATCTCGTGTGTTCGTTGCTGTTTGTTACCCGAATTCTAACGGCATCCCCAACCTCGATAAAACTTTCAACGCTGAGATGTTCAAAACAAACCATGCTTGAGTGTTCGCCGTAGGATACGGTTTCCAGGTTCAACGATCCACTCCACACGCACCCCTTCTTAGTCTGTCGGTCGCCAGAGCAATGTTGCCGACGTTACCTCGCTCGAGCCGGAAGGAGTGACAAGCTGCGACATTTCGCGTATGGTGTCCCTTCAGCCGCGCAACAGCGGCTCCCCCAAGGTCGCTACGCGATCGTCGTCGTCGGATGGCGGCAAGCCGCGCTTTCTGTCGGCCGCCATGTCCGCCGTCACGGAGCGCAACCGCTTCACGGAGATCGTCTTCGCGGCGCTGCTGCTATCCGCTTCGCTGCGCATCTGGCTCGACCTGCGCCTCCACGCCCCGCGCGCCGCCTCCCTCCCCTGCCACACCGACGGCTCGCTTCAGCTGACCGACCAATCGGTGTCAGCCACGTCAGCATACCGCAACGACAGCGTCGTAGCGCTGCCCGGTCGCGCGTGGCGGCTGCCGGCGGGAGTAGCGCGGTCGTACGGCGGGCTGGGCGGCGGCAAGGTGGACCCGGCGCGCTTCCGCCTGCACGTGAAGGTGCTGGTCTTCGACCGCCCCGCGTACGCCCTGCGCTGCCTGCGCGCGCTGGCCGACGCGCTGTACGACGCGGAGCCCGTGTACCTCGACGTCTTCGTCGACCACCCCTTCGCGCTGCGCGCCGACGCCGCGCCCTGGTCGCCGCGCACCGCCAGACGCGTGGCGGCCTCCCATTCGCTGATGGCGCAGATCGACGCGTTCGCGTGGCCGCACGGGCCGAAGCGCGTGATGTACCGGTCGCAGAGCGCGGGGCTGCAGGGGCAGTGGGTGGAGGCGTGGTGGCCAGAGAGCCTTGCTGACGTGGCGCTGATAGTGGAGGACCACGTGGTGGTGTCGCCCCTGTACTACCGGTACCTGAAGCGCCTGCTGGCGCGGTACTACTTCCGGCGCGGCGAGTTCGACCCGCACATGCTGGGCGTCTCGCTGCAGCGCCAGTCCTTCGTGCCTGGCCTGGGCGGGGACCCCCTCCCCCCGCTGGCGCACAGCGCGCCGTTTCTCTACACCCTCACGGGCACGTGGGGGCAGGCGCTGCTGCCCGGCCCTTGGCAGCAGTTCCGCGTGTGGCTGGACGAGCGACGCTACAACGGCAGCCGGCAGCCGACTGTGGGGGGACTGAAGACCACGCAGTGGTTCAAAGATAAGGTGGGGGGGGGGGAGGGGGAGGAGAGATTGAGAGGACAGGAGGAGTTCAGGTCGAGCCAGACACGCCATTGCATCGCTACCCTCCACCCCCTTAGCTTCCATGGCCGTCTCCGTCCGCCATCCCCGTCGTCCTCCTGCCCTCCGCCCCCTGCTCCCCTTGCTTTGAGGCGCCTCAAAACTAGACTCCTGCCCTCCGTCCCCTGCTCCCCTTGCTTTGAGGCGCCTCAAAACTAGACTCCTGCCCTCCGTCCCCTGCTCCCCTTGCTTTGAGGCGCCTCAAAACTAGACTCCTGCCCTCCGTCCCCTGCTCCCCTTGCTTCCAGGCGCCTCAAAACTAGACTCCTGCCCTCCGTCCCCTGCTCCCCTTGCTTCCAGGCGCCTCAAAACTAGACTCCTGCCCTCCGTCCCCTGCTCCCCTTGCTTCCAGGGCAACCGGCGGTGGTCGCCGTGGGCCATCAAGTGGGCGTACAGCCACGCCATGCTCTCGCTCTACCCGCCGCTGCCCGCCAACCTCTCCCTCGCCTTCCCCCTCAAGCGCTCCGCATCCCCCGCCGACGCCCCCCTCGTGCCCCTGCTGCCGGGGATGGGCGCACCTGGAGGGAGGGCACAGCTGGGGGGCACGGGTGGAGGAGGCGGGGGCGGAGAGGAGGGGGGCGGGGAGGGGGGGGTGGAGGGCGCAGTGAGGGCGTGGGTGGAGGGGCGGCTGCCGCGCATGGCGCAGGTGCGGCGCTTCGACCTGTGTGCGCGCCAGCTGAGGCACCTGCCCGTGGGGCGGTCGCTGGACGATCTGCACTCGCTGCTGGCCGCCACGCACCAGGTGCGCTGCTTCCGGTTGTAGCGGGCGCTCTGTGGCTCGTGCTCCTCGCTCAGAGATGCGACTGGCACTCACGCACTGCTCCATGCCGCGCCCTGCTGCTCGCCGCTGCCCTCACACCCCCTGCTGCCCACGTGCAGTCACTGTATCCCCTACCGCTTTCTGCCCGGTACATGCCCCCCACCTCCCCCTCATCCCCCCTCCCTGGCAGGACAAGCGCGTCTCGCTGGTGGTGGTGCCGCGGGGATCCAAGGACCTGCTCAACAACTGGCTCTGCCACCTGGACGGCAGCGGCCTGCGCTCATTCGTCCTCATCGTCCCCCATGCCAGCCTGGCAGCTGAGCTGTCCGCACGTGGCCTCGCAGCCTTCCACCTGCCGCCAATCAGCAGGCGCCAGGCGGCACAGGGGCTGGGGCAGCTGGCAGCGAGGGGAGGGTTGAAGGCAGTGAGGGAGAAGGAGGTGCAGGGGGGGATGGAGGAAGGGGAGGAGGGGGAGGAGGTGGACGCTGGTGGAGCAGTGGAGGGGGAAGGGGGGGAGGAGGAGGAGGAGGAGGAGGAGGAGGAGGAGGGCATGCAGAGGGGGGACGGGCGCAACTGGTGGACGGCGCGGCACATAGAGGTGGTGGTGGCGGCGCTTTCGCAGGGCTTTGATGTGTCCCTCAGCAACGTGGACGCCGTGTGGCGGGGCGACCCCATGGCCACAGACGCCCAGGGGCTCATCCCTGCTGACGTGGACATGTGGGGCCACCTCAACACTGCTGATGTGGCCTCCAGCTATTTTGTGATTCGCTCCCGTGCTGCTACAGTGTCAGCATGGGGCCAGCTGGCAAAGCTGTGTGCGCAGGCGTCCAAAGGTGGAGCCAAGGGGGACATGGACAGGGGGGAGGTGGGGTGTGGGGAGCCCGGGAGTGGCGTGCAGCAGAGGCAGATGCGCGTGCTTCTGACTCAGGCAATGCACTTCAAAGAGGTGCCCTCCATACCCTTCACACGCGACGGAGCCGTGCGAGTGCCCAAAGGCACACTGCTGCCGGCCTTGCTACCACCCCAATCCCTGACCAAGGGTGGTAAGGTAAAAGCAATGGACAGCATTGGACTTTGGGTGATTGATGACTTTGACCTTGCCTGTAAGGCTGTGACATGCAAAAGGAGGTTGTATACTGCTGGTTCTGATTAATACGAGTGTATTCTAGATTGGAAGTATTAAATTCCGGGGGTCATCCGTTCGCTATCTTCGTCATCGTCGTCGGTATGCCTGCGGTTCGTGAACCCTCGCTGGGGGAGTTGAGAGGTGGGCAGCGGTTGCGTGTGTGGCTGGGAAGGCAGGAGGGTCGAGGCGCGATAGGGGGAGATGTGGCGCTGTGCTGGCATGGGGATGCACGGATGGCGGATTGGCGGGGAGCGTCATCTGAAATTTGCAGTCCACTCGCGCCCCGCAGGGACGAGTGAGAGTGAGGCGCGCAAATAAATGTCCGACACAAATTGCAATGTCGCGGTGCATGCACCTCCTGCTCGGCAACGCTGCTGCCCAGCCATGGCTGCTCGCTTCAACCACTCACTCTCACGACCTCCGCCCCTGGACTGGGAATTCGACTGAGTTACATCCACACCGACGACGAAGAAGGTCTCTCACCCTTCCTAATCTAAAGCGAGCAAGGAATTAGCTCCAGACTGAAACGTCGCTCTCATTTTCCCGCTCGCTGTCACTCGCCCCCTCTGCACACACTGTGAGTGCTGGCTGCAGCACGGGGAGACTGTTCAACCCGGTGGTAGGAGATGCAAGTCGGTAGAATGAACGCGGTTATGGCGAGCCACGCAGTCGCGCCACGGCAATGGGTACCGCCCAGTGCGGCGCATACATGGAGACGAGGCAAGAGTTTGTGGGGGCAAATTCAATGGCGGGCGGCGAATGCGGAATTGAGGAGCCGCAAGCCCTTTGGTGCGTGGCAGCAGTCGCATCGCACTCGCACTCGCACTCGCACTCGCACATGCTATCTCATGCCATGCGTTAGCCTCTCTTTGCGCGCACATTGGTTCAACAATTCCGCTGTGTTGATTGGCGCCGGTTCTACGAATTACTGGTGCGCTATGAAGCTCAACCATATAGAACTTTCGCCGCACCGCTCCGCACTGTGCCGCTCGTTGCCTAAGCTACTTCTTGCCGCTCACCTGCGCCCCTGCACTTCCCCAGGTCCGGCCTTCAAGCGGCCATGGCATCGCCCGGCGGCATCGCCGCGTGGAGCCAAGGCACTGCGAGTGCACGCGGCGTTGAGCCTCGACGCCAGGTGGTGAGTCGCTGCTGCCGTCGCCGTCCGCTGCTCATTCCATTTCGCTCCGCCTTCCTCCGCATGCCCCCCTCGTCCGCCCCGCTGGCTTGTGTGCCGCGCTGCATGCTAATTCCGGCTCAGCCGTTCCGCCACCCCTGCGTCTTCTTCCCCCTCCAGCAGCACCGCCACCGCTCAAGATCCCTTCTCGCTGCTCTCCACCGTTCCGCCACTCCGCGCGCCGCCGCTGGAGGAGAGTCTCGCGATGGCGGACGAGGCGGGCGGAACGCGGCGGTGGAGACACGTGAACTCGGAAGGGACTTGCGCGGCTGTCGAAGCGCCCTCAACCCCCAATCGCCTGGTGCGTGCGCGCGGCGTCAGTGGTGCCAAGGGCGCCCTCCTCTGCCGCCCCTCGTCAACTGAAACTCCTTCCTTCTGCCCGGTAACCACGCCCTCCCCTCCCTCGCCCGCCCGCCCCCCCCCTCCCTGCAGGCGTCCCGCCTGGGCGTGCTCATCCTAACCGCGGCGGCGGCAGCGGCGGCGGGGGCGGGCATGTCGGCGCAAGCCGTGCAGGCGGAGGCCGTGCAGGCGGAGGCCGTGCAGGCGGAGGCATTGCAGGTGAGAGTGCCGGGGGGGCGGTATGTCCGGCGGATGATGGCGGGCGGGTAGACAAGATCCCTGGTGCCGCTGGCTCGTCGTTCTTATTCGTCCTCTGCCCGCCCGCCGCTCCGTTATCTCCGTGTCCGCCCACCAGGCTCCGACAGCAGCTACGCCCACTGGGGCGCCTGTGCCGTCCGCAGCACTGGCGGTACCGGAGGCAGACTGCCAGGCGGCAGCAGCGTTGCAGCTGCCGCCTGTAGCGGCGGTTGCTGCTGTTGCCGTGCCAACCGTCGGTCCGATTGGTAGCAGTCGTTCTCCACGTCAGCAGACAGCTCAGCAGCACGTGGCAGCGCTGGAGGGGCGCGTGGCGCGCATGATGGCGTGGGTGCGGCAGGGCAGGCGCGGGCACGCGGGGGGCACGGCGGGCACGGGGCGAGAGGGGCAGGCGGCAACGGCGCAGCAGGCAGAGGTGAGGAGAGGGTGGGATGAGAGTGAGGGGGGGCAGGGAGAGGGCGAAAAGGAGGGGCTTCTTGTCTTGCGCTGTGCCCTCCATCCTTCGACTGCCATCCCGCCCTTACTCCCTCCCTATTCGCTCCTCGTGCTCCGCCCCCCCACTCCTTCCCCTTGGCCTGCAGCTGCGGCGGCGAGTGGCGGGCGTGGTGGAGGGGCGCAGGGCGACAAGTGGGAAGCAGCAGGGGGAGGGGGAGGGGGAGAGGGGGCTAGGGGCGGTGAGTGTGGAGGAGGTGGGGAGGGGAGTGGGAGGAGCGGGGTTCCAAGAGATGGGTGGAGAGGATGTGCGGCGGAGCGGCCATGTGGATTGGCTCAAGGGGATAGCAGGGCAGTACGGCATGGCGCTGCCATCGCCTGCAGGGGCCAGGGGAGGAGCAGCCGTGGCAGCAGAGGCGGAGTCAGCAGCAGCGGCATCAGCGGTGGTGGCGGGGAGGGTGCTGGCGGCATTGAGGGGAGCGGAGCATCTCGCGGGGGCGGCACAGGAGCGCGCCACGGCGCCGGGCTCTCTGCCCCCTGCAGCTGCAGCCGCTAAGACAAGGTTGCAAGCGCCGGAGCAGCAACTGTCACGACTGGAACAAAAGCTGGTGAGTGTGGGGGCGGACAGGGGAAGGGGCAACGAGTTTGGAGCAGCTTTCGATGCTTGTCGCTTCCATGCCTCGTCCCTGCGCCTTCCCTCGCACCGTCATTCCGCCCTCGCCTCGGTGGTGTCTGATGCCGCCGCCTGTCTCTGTCCTGCGTCCATGCATACCTCATGTGAGAGCAGCGCGACGCAGAGGCGAGTCGCGACCGCTACGAGGCGGCGGTGCAGTGGACGGAGGGCCGCCTGGCAGCGCTGGCCAGCCTCGCCCTCACCGTGGGCAGTGCGCCCTCGCCCGCCCTCGCCGCCTCCCGCTCCCACCTGCTCTCCTCTCTCGCCTTCGCCCAGAAGCGAGCGCATGAGGTAAGAACATGCGGGGGCGATGTGATTGGGATGGCAAGATGGCAATGGCACCATGGGGACTGCACAATTGGGATGAAGGATGGGGTATCCCTTTGTTGAGCAGTGAGGATGGTGTGAAGCATGTGTGGGACATGCATGAGACATGCGTGCGAAATCCAAGGTGGCATATGCTGACCTGTCAACTGGTGCTGCTCGTTTCTTCTCGGCCGCCTGTGCCCTGCGTGCGTGCGTGTGTGCGTGCGTGCAGGAGGAGCAGCGAGTCAACCAACTCCGCCAGCAGCTCGCCACCACCTGCAATCTGCCGCATTCCGCCTCCTCCCCCTCTTCCTCGTCCCCATCCTCCTCACCGCCCTCCACCGCACTGCCTCCATTCCAATCGGCCATAACGCCACCTGCGCCCCCAGCCTTCCTCCTTGCACCGTCAACAGCACCCCTGTCAACCCCCCCCTCTACGTCATCACCCCCCTCCGCCTCCTCGCACCCCTCCAAACCAGCTCCGCCTCGCTCGCATTCCCTGCCATCGCGGCCCCTCGCCCACACTTCTTGGCACCCTACCGAGGCCGCTGCCCACGCCACCAGCACCACCCTCACCAGCAGCCTCAGCCCCGCCAGCAGCCTTGCTGCGATGAGCATTCTCCAGCAGGTGAGGTTCGCTCACGCCCTCCCGGCTGCAGCACTCTGTGCTCCGCATCCGATCAGACCCCGTCCCGCTCGTGTTCGATGCCCCGCTGCACCGCACACCTGCCTCAGGCCCCCCTGATCCCCTGCTTCTGCTGCTCGCACCCCGCTCTGACCGCGTGTGTGTGCGCTTGCACTGTGCTCACCACCTCCTCCCCCCTTTCTCTCCCCCCCCCCCCTCCCCCTCTTTTCCAATCCCCCCCAGGCGCCAGTGCTGGTGGAGGGGGTGCGGGTGGGGGAGTGGGCGCGGGAGTACGTGGCGGAGTCGGTGGCACAGGAGCTCAGCAAGCGACGCACGGGCCACGGGGGCGGCAACTGATGTGCCAGACAAAGTAGACGCCACAGCAGCCTTCAGCAGGCATATTTCTTTGCTCGTGCAAAGATATGTACATAGTTTTTGTGCTGTATTTCGTTCAATAGCGAAGCCTACAAGGAGACAAACTTTGTGCAATATATTGATGGGCATTGGGTTATGATTTCAAGATATGCAAAGATATGATTACAAGGAGACAAACTTTGTGCAATATATTGATGGGCATTGGGTTGCTCGTGCAAAGATATGTACATAGTTTTTGTGCTGTATTTCGTTCAATAGCGAAGCCTACAAGGAGACAAACTTTGTGCAATATATTGATGGGCATTGGGTTATTTTGGGCCATGTCCACAAGGGCAAGTGGTACAATACGGAAACTGATGTACGACATTGCGAATGACTTTTGCAACATATTGCGCATGACTTTTGCAACGTATTGCACATGACTTTTGCAACGTAGCTTTAGGATAGCTACTGGTACCTTTCACGTCTATGAAATTTACCACCAGACCCTGCTTTACTCTACGCTATGTACATCATCATCACTCATGGGGTTTGCTTCTGTGGGAACGCAATATGAATGGGCTTGTCCTAAATTCTGTCGGCACTGTTCCTCGGAGAGTGTCATCTCGATACGGGTCAGGAGGACCCGTGAGTGAACATTGGCTGCATTGTGGGCCAATGTTGGTGCTCGCGAACCTTGGGGAATGGTTGGTTTGTGGACCAACGCTGCTGCGGTTCAGGGGAATTCTTCCAGTCAGGTGCTGGCGTGCTGCCCCATCAGAGTTTTTGGAGCCACCAAAAGCAGGATGGTGTGGCGTTGGTTCGAGAGTGGAACTTCGGTGCTGCCCTGATTGGTTAGGTCTGGGTTGGAAAGCGATCAGAGATTTCAGAGGCATGCAGCACGAGTGTACTGAAAGGGCAACTATTGTGGGCTGGATAGCGAGTTTCGCCATGATCAGGGTCTTTCAAATATTGGGGCAAACTCCCTTCTACACCCCCCGAAACCCACTTCACCATCAACAAAATTCAGGGGCTTAACCTATCCGAAGCACGGAAAGCACTCTGAATTCTGGAAAGAACCCTTCTGCATTTGAACCCTTTCAGGAATTCCCCCTCGTGGAGAAAAGGGTACGACAGAGCCCAAGCGACCACATGGGCAAATCCATGTTCCTGTTTGTGGCTGGCTGTTTCGAATCACAGTCCGCATCTTCCATTCATGGCTCCAGTCCAGCCTATAGATAGCATCAGTGGTTCTCGACTGGTCTAGCAGCACCGCTGCTGTCCGACGCTACCCAGAGTAGCGCCCAGAGTAGCGTCGAGAGTAACGTCCATATTCAGGTGCTATTTTGGCTCCGAGACTCGAGGAGCTTGCGCTGCTAGCCGCAGCTACTGCATGCACTACCGAGGCCAGTAGGGCAATGGTGCCATCCCTTCGCGACCCCGTTTGCCTCGTCTCCATTCTTCGCGCAGCGCGATCGGTAGGGTAGGGAAGACTAAGCTGCCCGCTCCTTTCGGACGCACGCCGTCCCTGCGAGGCCCACCCGTTCTCGTGCAGATTGCCTGCCTCGAGTAACTCCCCCTTTCCTCGGTCCCGAAGGTCTCTCTCGTTTTCTCGAGCCTCCCCTCGGCCTGGCCGTCGGCCGAGCGTGAGACGAGTAGCGGCGAGGCTGATCGGCAGCGGCAGGTGAATGTGTCGCTAGGCGCCGACCAGCGCCACCGCATGGATCCCGCCGCTCCCTCGTCGAGCGGCGATCGCCCGGCGACAGGCGCGGCGGGGGAGGCGGAGAGGCGGCAGCGGCAGCGCGTGAAGCGGGAGGTGTGCGACGAGGTGCTGCGCAAGCTGCGCGAGGCGCGCCACCCGTGCCTGCAGGCCGCCGGCATCGAGAACGACCTCCACGCGCACTTCAACCGCCTCCCCACCAGGCGAGTCGACCTCCCCACCAGGCGAGTCGACCACCGTCTGGCCCCAACCCTTGGCCGCGCTTCGCCGCCGTGGCCACACTCGACTCCATGGGCGCGGTTGCTCACTGGCAGCCAGAGTGACTCGTCGTCCCATCGCTCGGCCTGACCCGTTGTGTGCTGGCGCTGCTTGCGCGTGCGCCTTTGTCCGTGGGATGGCATGGTGCAACAATGCAATGCATGGCGTGACATGGCATGGCGTGCAATGCATGGCGCGCCACGTGGCGGCAGGTACGCGTTGGACGTGAACACGGAGCGCGCGGAGGACGTGTTGACGCACAAGCGCCTGCTGGAGGAGGCCGCACGCCTGCACGGGCTGCCCGTCTTCTTCGTCCGCGCCGTCCGGGTACCACCTCGCGCCCGCGCTCGCGCTCCCCCCCTCTCCCCACCCCCCCCTCCTCCCCCCACCCCCCCGCGCTGCTCGCGCTGCTCTCGCTGCTCGCTCCCTCGTCCATCCCTCATTGCGCCCCCCGCTGCCCCTCCCAAGGCATGCCTGGCGCAGCGCCATGCGCGCTTGAGCAAGCCCGCCGCTGAGGTCCCACTGTGCGCCCCTCCGTGCGTGCATTCGTGCTGCGCTCCCCGCAGATGGTGGCGGCGGGCGGCGCAGCAGCGGGCGAGGAGGGGCAGCCCGCCAGCATGGACACGGACCACCACCTCCCCGCCGCCCTGCACCCCCAGGGGTAACCGCCCCTCGCACCCCTCCCTCGCCCAGCGCGCTCCTGCTGGCCCGTCCTCTGCCATCGCCGCTTTCACGCCTGCGCGCACGCATCTCCCCCTCCCTCCCCCTTGTCTTCTTCTGCACCTCCCGTTCCTTCCCGCCCATTCTCCTCATCTCCTCATCTCCACGCGTTGCGTCTCTCCAACCTGCCAGTTTGACACACCCCCCTCCCCCTCCCCCTCCCCCTCCCCCTCCCCCTCCCCCGCCCTCACCCCGCACTCTCGTTCAGCGCGCTAGCGCCGCCAGCGTTTGGGTCGTCGCCGAACCTGGATGCGCCGGTGCAGGGCGGCGGGCAGGGCGCGGGCGCCATGGAGGACGACCAGCATGGGTCCCTCAGGTACGACCAGCATGGATCCCTCAGGTACGACCAGCATGGATCCCTCAGGTACGACCAGCATGGGTCCCTCAGGTACGACCATACAGGCGCGGTCGACTGGTGGCGGGCACAATGGGGCGTGTGGCGTGTGGCGTGTAGCGTGTGGTGTGGGGCCATGGGTTGAGGCGGTGGTGGTGAGAGAGAGAGGGGCTCTAGAGGCTGCTGCGGCCCTGGATCGGCCAGAGGTGTCTGCTCTCTGGCTCTCTGGTTCTCTGGCTCTCTGGCTCTCTGGCTCTCTGGCTCTCTGGCTCTCTGGCGCCATGAGTGTGGCGCCATGAGGGCAGTAACATGGGTGTGGCGTTGGCAGCCAGCACCGCCAGTTATCCGCCCACCCCACCCCACCCCACCCCACCCCACCCCACAACACATCCACCTTCGCTGCCCCTGCCACCTCATGCCCGTCGCTGCTCCCTCCTGCGCCCTCCCATGCGCCCCTCCCACCGTTTGGCAACCCTGCCCCCTGTGGCAGCGCGCCATACTACAACGTGCCCATGCACGAGGTCACCTTCTCCACCTTCGACCGCCCCAAGCTGCTCAGCCAGGTGGGTGGTACCTGCTCAGCCAGGCCAGTGGTACCTGCTCAGCCAGGTGGGGGATACGTGCTTAGCCATGCTAGTGGTACCTGCTCAGCCAGGTGGGTGGTACCTGCTCAGCCAGGCCAGTGGTACCTGCTCAGCCAGGTGGGTGGTACCTGCTCAGCCAGGCCAGTGGTACCTGCTCAGCCAGGTGGGGGATACGTGCTCAGCCAGGCCAGTGGTACCTGCTCTGCCAGGTGGGCGATACGTGCTTAGCCAGGTGATAAGTGGTCAGGAAGGTGTTTACTGTCCAGCACCACACCATCAAATCCTCTTCCTTTGGACATCCTTTCCCTTTGAACCCCCTCCCATCCCCTCCCTCCCATCCCCTCCCTCCCATCCCCTCCCTCCCTCCCCCCGCTCCCCTCCCCCCTCCCCTTCCGCCTGTGGTGGCAGCTGTCGGCGGTGCTGGCGGACGCGGGGCTCAACATCCGCGAGGCGCACGTCTTCTCCACGTCCGATGGGCTCTCCCTCGACGTCTTCGTCGTCGACGGCTGGCCCACCGAGGTGCGCCTAGCACCCCACCCAGGTGCGCCTTGCACCACACCAGGTGCGCCTTGCACCCCACCCAGGTGCGCCTTGCACCACACCCAGGTGCGCCTTGCAGCCCACCCAGGTGCGCCTTGCAGCCCACCCAGGTGCGCCTTGCACCCCACCGAGGTGCGCCTTGCAGTCCTCCCAGGTACGGCCCACCCAGGTACGGCCCACCCAGGTACAGCTGTCGCCTTGTGGCGCCATGCCCCTCCTCAGCGCTGTCAGGTCATCTTATTCCTCACAAGCCCCTTCCCTCCCCATCCCCCCTGTCTCCCTGTCGCCTGGCGTGTGTGTGCCGTGTGCCGTGTGCTGCGGCCTGCCAGGACGTGGTAGACCTCCACGCAGCGTTGGTGCGAGTGCTGCAGGTCAGACCCACGCCCTTGCTTCTCGCATTCCAAGCTGCACACATTGGTGGAACAATTGATGCCTTTGTACAGCCTTGCGTGCTGCGGGACATGCAGCTCTCCACATTCACGCAATGTGCGCACATGCACTCCATTTTTCCATTGCCTGCTGCCACATCGCACGCTCGTCCCCTCTCCTCTTTCTCCACCTGCACGCACCCATCAAACGCACCCATCAAACGCACCCATCAAACGTACCCATCAAACGTACCCATCAAACTCACCCATCAAACGCACCCATCAAACGCACCCATCAAACGCACCCATCAAACTCACCCATCAAACTCACCCATCAAACGCACCCATCAAACTCACCCATCAAACGCACGTGCTGCCCCTCATTTATCCGTCTCTCCCAGATGGGGGCGGGTGCAGCTCTCTCCATGCAGCCAGAGGCGTCAGGCCAGTCGATGCAGTCGGCGCCCGGCCCTGCCATGTCAGAGTCAGCAGGCATGTCCGCGCCGGCCGCAGTGGGGCACGTACCAGGGTCGCACCTGGCGGGGTCGCTGGTGTCGGGTGCGGAGTCGCGGGTGCCGATCCCGTCAGACGGGCGGGACGACTGGGAGATCGACAGCCAGCAGCTCAAGCTGCACCACAAGATCGCCTCGGGCTCCTTTGGCGACCTGTCAGTGGCGGGCATGGCACACGGGGATGGGGGTTGGTTTAATTCGCTGTGTTTGAATCAACCTGCTTAGTGCCGTGTCCTGACTTCGTGTGCCTTTCACGGCATGGCATGGTGTGGCATGGCGTGGGCGTGGCATGACACGGCACCAGGTACCGCGGCACGTACTGTGGGCAGGACGTGG